TCTAATCTACATGGAAAGTAGAAATAGACAAGGTCTCCTGGGTAAATTGGGAGCGTGGGCATCATGGAAAGAGTAGAAGAGACGGGGAAGGAAGGGAGGGAAGTGAAGAAAAATATATAGCTCAACAAAAACAATTAAAAACAGAATACAGTAACTGAGAAATCTTAGCAATAAAGTCCATGGCACTAAAATAAAAAAAAGAGTTAAGTGGTTTGAATAGTCAATCAGATTGCTATGCTATGGCTATGGATTCTCTCTTATATACATAGTACTGTTCTTAGAATTTCTAACTATTTCAATTTTCCAATTTCTTTATTTAATCATCATTACTTATTATTTTAGTTAGGGTTTCTATTGCTGTAATGAAACAACATATGACCAAAAATTAAGTTGAGAGGAAAGTGTTTATTTGGTTTATACTTTCAGATTATAGTCATTGCAGGAAGTCAAAATAGAAACTCAAGCAGGGCAGGAATCTGAAGGCAAGAGCTGATGTAGAGGGCATGAGGGATGCTGCTTACTGGCTTGCATCCCCTGGGTTGCACAGCCTTCTCTTTTATAGAACCCTGGACCAGCAGCCCAGGGATGGCACCACTACAATGGACTGGACCCTCTCCCAGTGATCATTGAGAAAATGCCTGACAACTGGATCTCATGGAAGCATTTCCTCAAGTGAGGCTCCTTCCTCTCTGATGACTTTAGTTTGTGTGAAATTGACACACAAAGCCAGTCAGTACTCATATTGTACTTGACGCCACTCATATCAGACATTTATGAAATAAATGTCTCATCTTTGTCCTCCACACAACCCCAGGAAGTTTCCGATTCTTTTGCAGATGCTGTTCTGCTGTCCCGGGCTACTCCTGTCTATTCTGGTTTGTAGCCACTGCTTCTCTCTACTCACTGATTTTTACCGCCAGTGTTTTCTGACTCTTCGATGACAGGAAATAGTTTTTCTTCTCTTTACCCGCACGTTTTTTTTTTGTTGTTGTTGTTTATAATTCAACATTAAGAAGTCATTTCTAAACAGAATTTTTGTGGGTTATTATTATTATTATTATTTGTTTGTTTGTTTTTTTTGAGAAAGGGTTTCTCTGTAGCTTTGGAGACTGTACTAGAACTAGCTCTGGTAGAATTTTGAAGGAATTTTCTTTTTTTTTTCTTCTCCAAAGGCAATCAATGGCAGTGAGTAAACTTGAAATAATGGATGAAGTGTGCCCTGATTTTGTTCAGCATTCCTATATAAAATAGAAACAACTTAACATTTAGAAAATCACATGGAAACAAAGGTAATTTTAGATTAAGTTATCTCTGTAATGGGCAGAGTCCTCCTACAGAAAAAAATGTGGAGCTCTTCGTTAATAAGTTACAAAGAATTTGAACATGCTGACAGTAGAGTACTAAGCCAACCTATAGGGCCTTCTGGCGGCAAGGCCACTTACATCAGCCATATCATCACCAACCCAGAAGTTCCAGTCTCTTGGGAAATAAATTCTGATCTCTAACGCTATACTGATTAGATAGTGATTACTTGGGTTGTTAGAGCAGGAGTAATTCAATCAACGTGGGCAGAATGACCTTTCAGTTTAATGTAATCGCATTTTCACACACTAAACAAGAAGATTTGTTTGTCAGTGGTCTTTGCTCTTTCCTGACACTCTAGGACTCAGCCTCCTCACTTGCTCTCATCCCTTTGTCTTTATTTGTTTGAAACAATGTTGCTGCATAACAAGATCATGGCTGAGAACGATTCAGACACAGACTTGGTATGCTAAGCCTTTAGGATATTGGAGAGTTAGAACTTCAAGGAGTCAATTCAGCATCATTCTAGCCATCTCAACAGGGAAACTCATACCCACTCAGTCCACCTGGGACAGCCACTGCAGCAATTCAAACTCTTCATTTTAAGATGAAGAAATTAAAGCCCAAAAGAGACTAACTCTCGTTGATTTGCTTAAAGTCTTTCATGGTAAGTTCCAGACTTAAATCCACTTCTGTCGTTCTGTATAACCTCCATGCCATATATTACTTTCTTAGGTCAGTTGTTTTGGTTTTATATACCTTTGGCCCATGTTTAAAACAAAACAAAACACTCACACAGAATATATATAAAATGGGGATGATCCAAATCCCCTGCAGGTCCTCTGAATCTGCTATCACGGAATTTGTATGTGCCTGTGGGAATCTGTGTGCACATGTGGGAATCTGTGGCACATGTGGGAATCTGTGCACACACGTGGGAATCTGTGTGTACGTGTGGAAATTTGTGTATGCATGTGGAAATCTTTGTGCGCATGTGGGAATCTGTGTGCACAAGTGGGAATCTGTGTGCACATGTGGGAATCCGTGTGCGCCTGTGGGAGTAGGTGAGAAGGGAAGTCAGCAGTGGTAACTTTTGGCTTTAGCCATTCTTTCTTCCCTATCACCATAAACTAAACAAGGAAACAGAATTTGTCCATGGAAATCAGTTTGTCACTTGTCTGGAAACTTTCACAGTCAGTCAGAATGTCAGTGTGTCACTGGGTCTCAGGACCTGCTGGTAGACCTGCTCACCCTTCCACCTTCTACTCTCTACTCTCCAGGCATTTCAGTTCACAAATAAACATATGCTCATGAATACTCAGTCTATAAGTTCTGCTTGTTTGTGGTGTACTCAAGTAGTACATGAATCTCGACTGATACTCCCTCGCTTGGCTGTAGCTTTTAGGCAATTTGGGTAATTTTCTTAGTACCGTTGAAATCACTGCTTTATAGTTGTCTTCTCTTGTTCAGTTGGAATAATAGAACCTCACCTTCCTTTTTGAAGTTTTGGAAGTCTGGTAAACTATTTCTTTTGTACCTGCCTCAACTTCTGTGACTTTTATTCTTCATCATCTAAGAGAAACTCCTTTTCAGTAGATTTCCAATCTGGACAAAAACAAACTGCCAGTAGCCAAATTGCTGCCCTGTGGCCCACAGACAATTTCTGGAATCTGGTTCTAACCTCTCTGTGTACCTCTAAATCAAAGGAAAAAGTGGCAGAGTAAGCCACTGTGGGTTGTCTGGCCCTATGAAAATGTCTTTGTATGTATGTATTTTCTAGTTTTTCTTTGAGGGAAAGAACGTGGAAAGGAATCTTATTAACAAGGTATTTCTCAAAAGCCAAAGTAATGCTTACACTGTAGAGTATAATAGAAAATCCAGTGTCTATGGAACAATAAAATTGGAGGTACAATCTTTGACTACTTAGCAACCATTTTAAGTAGTACTCCACTAATGACCAGCATGTCTGATACTGTTTATTTCACAAAACATAGAAGAGTATCTTCAAGTTATGGCTTTTATCAGTAAATATCTAACTTTTGAAAAATATTAATTCTTTTTTAATTCACCATGCTCAACAAACAAGCAAAAGTGGAGAGAGAGACAGAGACAGAGAGGGGGGGAAGGAAGGGAGAGGAAGTGTGCTTCAAATACACACATATTTCAAGATAACAGCCTGGCTACAGGGCTAGGCAGTAGGAAGCTACAAAAACATCGATCATTTTCCCAGTTAGTAGCATCTGTGTTCTTTGGGGAGCACTTTGTGTGAGGTAGATTGTGCCCTTGTCCTCACCAGGGCAGAGTGGAAGCTGAGCAGGAAGATTGTCTGGCCTGATCTGTGAGGGAAGGGAAGGGAGAGCAGACTTGGCCTGGCTGGTTCACCACCCCCTCCAGGTTTGCCTTCTTTGCCTTTTCCCCTCTGCGACTCTTGCATATATCAGCTAGAAGTTACCTCCAATCTTCCCACAAACATTGGGCAGGTAAATCAGATTTTCATGAGAAGCGCTATATCACTTTCTCTAGACTGGATTTTCAAGTTTGGGATCTTGAAAAATAGAAGAAAACCTTATGGTAGAAATTCTTCAAAATTGACCTTTAATTGCTCTCTTTTCCTCCCTTGTGCTTTATGGAAGAGGAAAATACTTGAGAAAAATAGAATATATTCATTAGCAAGATGTCTATTTTTTCTTACTGTTTGTTCATCTAACTAATATTTACTGCATGTAACTGTGTATTACTAAGTACTGTTAGTAAATGTACAGTGAACATATTATATGAGTTAGAATATATTAGATTTCTTTCTTTCTTTTTCTCTTTTCTTTTTTTTTTTTTTTCGTTTCAAGACATGGTTTCTCTGTAGCTTTGGAGCCTGTCCTGGAACTAGCTCTTGTAGACCAGGCTGGCCTCAAACTCACAAAGATCTGCCTGCCTCTGCCTCCCGAGTGCTGGAATTAAAGGCATGTACCACCACCCCCCGACCTAAATTAGATTTCTTAAGGAAACCTATATGCTTGTGAGTTAGCCAATAAGTCAAATAAATGTTGCTACGGTAAGAAATAATTAAGACTCCATAATTTAGAAATAAGGGTCAGAAAGACTTCTCCTAAGGGTTAAAAAATATAAATATCTGAAAAATAATTGAATATTGTTCACAATATTCTGGGTGCACTAGTCTGCCAAGTTTTCTCATCTAAAAATAGCTCTGCATATATCTACATAGATGCAAAATAAATGTAGTATATAAGTGTGAACATTTCCAATAGAAATTTTAATATTTCTAGGGTTAAAACCAAGTCATCTAGCAAACTCACGTCTGCTACCATTATGAGAGAAGAACCCAAGTAATTATTATTTGATGTCAATAGGGTTTACTATAGTGACATAGTAGAAAAGATATCAATAGGAAGAAATATCTTCTCCTAGCTCTGGGAAAGACATTGAAAAGTGTAATGTGAGTGAGAGAGGGGAGCTGCATATTCTGGTAAACATGCTCAAACCTTCTGATCACACTGCTGTTATTATAAGCAATGCTTGGGAGACACAAAACACAGGTGTATGATTTGCACACACTGTCTTGCAGATTTAAGATCTAAAGCAGATTTTAGAACCCTGTTAGAAATCCGTGAAAAAGGCCCAGATTCTCACCTTTGGAGTCAAACAGAAGATAAAGCTTAATGTTTAACCAGGTTCCCTTGCACTTTGCAACTAGCTCCTGCAACAGCAGACTTATCTGAGGTGAGCCCACTGCCTTGGAGAGTACTTCCACTGTGACTCTCCTTCATGGAGAAGAATGCAAAGGATAACAGGAGGCCTGTGAAGGTAAGAACTTGTGACAAGGTTCAGGATACAGCACCCCAAAATATGACAGCTTAACATTTAGAAAAAGAGCAGAACCAAGAAGGTCCCTCTTTCTTTTGTTCTTTTCCCCAAAGCAGGCCATAAAAGAGCACCTGGTCTTCCTCTAGAGTTGGTCATGAGACTTACAACGTGGGGAGGAGTCTTCCTGTACCTGGACAAATGAGAAAATCCTTGACTGGGACAGGGAAGAACATGATCTGGACAATTTCTGCAAATTCCCCTGTTAGCCACCATTTCATCATATTCTCTATCCAACCATTCTTCTGCATGACTCTTCACATTCCATCAAGTTGAGCATCAACCACACACAAGATCAGCTATTTCTCTGGGTATTTATTTCCCATGAATGTTCCTGTGTGACCTAAAATTCATATTAAATACTTTTATGAGATTTTCTCTTAATCTGCCTTTTGTTGTAGGAGCCTCAACCATGAACTTGGCAACAAGTGAAAAAAAAACTGAATTTTTTTTGTGCATATAGTAGGAAAATACTAAACCCTTTTAGATGTAAAAATTATCTGGTTCTTATTATATTCAGAAAGAAAGAAAGAAAGCTATTTTCATGTTTCAAGTTTGTGTTTTAAGTTGTATAAATAGCATTAGTTGTATAGTGTCCATGGGGACCCAAAACAACATACATTTTAAAGTTATTTTCTGTTATTCATTTATTGCTTAAATGGTTAAATACTTTTAATACAGAATACTTGTGTTTCACAATTCCTTGTTGTGAGCCCTCATCAATGCAATGGGGACTTTCCCATTGTTACCTTTGTACAAAGCCAAGTAATTTTTTGTTCTATAAAAATGTACAACTTAAATTCTCCCATACAAATGCATATAAAACTATGGTCCAATCACGGAAGAATATCTATTTGAAAAGAACTAAAACTTAATTACAAAAGACCTGTCAATCAAGTCTTTACTCTCAGCCCAGCAGAAGGAAAATACTTTTCCGATGACAATTCTTGAGACGAAGCTCTTTAGTGTTACTATTTAAAGATCTCTATGGGGAGCAATTCTTGGGCCCTGACAATGAACTACTTCCAAGTCATAAGCATGAACCAGGGCCCTTTGAAAGCACTTGATAAGTAGGTCTGCAAGAGACTTTTCAATAGGGGTCTATGCTATCATCACAAAAGTAAGCTTCTGTGTCTCCTCACATACACTTTTCTGCATTCCAAACACTAGAAAGGCCACGGCTATATTTCAATATTAAATGCACAGAAATCACATTCATTTTCAATCCTAAAAAAATAGGATTTCACAGGACAGTCAGGACTGTTTCACAGAGAAACCCTGTCTCGAAGAACCAAAATAATAATAACAATAAAAAAATAAAATTAGGACTTTATAAAGCAGTTCTAGTAAGCAGAGTGTGTTTTCCTTGTGGTAAAAATCTTTAAAATAATAATGCATTAATATACATATTTCAAGTTTTACAGTCAATATATCACGAATAACCAATATACATCATCTTTCTATTGTTAACATTCTAATAATTGCAAATAGCATGATTAAGGGTCATAGTCTATTTTTACATTTGACTTAAATGGTAGAATTCTTAATTAAAGAATGTTTAGTATACTATATTTTTCCAAGTTTCTTTAAATATCTCTTAAAACAGACATATTATGTTAAATTTGCCACGAGTGACACTTTACAAAGAGTTTTAGTACATGGCCAGTCTGACATTTTGTTTGTAGTTTTATAGATGGACTTTGAGCTTTCTTTGAGTATCAAACAACTTCAGAGAACTTAAGAGAGTAGCCAGAAGTTGCCTTTCCTATGTGGAAGCAAATCCCTATGGGCTTGTTCTTTCCTCACTGGCAGATGTTGGCCAGCAGGGAAGGGTTCACTTTCCCCTGTCACAGGGGGATTGAATCACCTCTTTTTTGGTATTGTATTTGGTAACTCATAGAGGTCATTTTGTCCTCAGTTTTCCTCATTAACACGAAAACTGTAGGGTTAAACACGTGACTTTCATTGATTGTTTTGTCTTATTCCAACCAGGTGAGCTGATGGAGAAAGAGGGCTGAGCAGTCAAGGTTGCTCAACATCCAAGTACCTAAGACCAATCAATTCTTCCTTAGTCACAATTTCTGCAACCTTCAGTTCTTCCCAGAGCCAAATCCTCTGCTTATGTGCAGTCCTCTGACATAGCAGCCTCCCTTAAGAAAACAGAAGAAAGCAATCACGCCCCCAAAACCCTTTTCATGGAAAATGCCTTTAACCTGAGCCCAGTCAGTTAATGCTGCATCTGCCCTGTATGGTCTGTAAAACAAGAGGAATTATTTCCTCCTGTTTAGAACCTACATGCCCACTTATTCTACGCAATGTGCTTCTGTACATTTCTTAAGATGCAAGCTTGTATTGTCTCAAGTGTTAATTATTTTGCATAGTGATAAATTTAAATGATTCAAAGTTCAAAAACGATGGAAGATGATATAATTTAAAAAGTCTGTTTCTTCTGAGGCCCAATCACCTCGCCTCTCCTAGGAACAAGTTCTGCCAAAGATATTTTAGACATACCACACAAACAAGTGCACAATCATCCTTTCTCATCTCAGAAAACAACAAAACTTTCCACAAGTTTGCAAAGCAGATTTTCTCATTGAAAAATTGTTTCTTAGGCATAATGTGAAGCACCAAAGAGTTATGTTTTCCCTTTGCAGTTACATGGCATAAATTATGAATTTCCCATAAGGTAACCTGAACTTACTGATGGACAATTACTTTGTCTCCAAACTTTGACTATTGTAAATAGCACTGCAATTGCTGTATTTATACATTAGTTCACATATGCAAATGCTCGCTCTCTGGGCTACATGCGTTCCTGTTAGCGGGTTTTAAACATTAACGGTATGCGGGTGTAATCTTAACAGACGTGTACAAGTCGTTCTCTCACCAACATACCAGCGCTTGACAGCACACATCCTAGAGAAAGCTTCTGCTGAGTTCCTCTGAACTTCGTCATTCCTGTTAAAAGATGGAACATTTTCAAGTATTTATGAATTGTTCATGATGATTTTGCTGTGATCTCTTTGTTCTTATGTTTCTTCTATTTTCTTATATTCTCCCTTTCTTTACACCGATTTCAACCATTGCCAAGTCCTGCCAGTGTGTTTTCTAAAGATTAATTTTTGAAAACTTTTCATATGTGAGTATATCTCCTGTGATATGTATTGTAACCTGTAGGCCCTGAAGAAAATACCTTTTCATATGATTTATTAAGTGTCATGTTTGTGGATTCTTGTTTTTGTAATGTATTTAGAAAGTACCCACTTCCTCACTCTGCTTTATTCTGCATGAGGATGATAAAAGAAAATTGTATGTTTTCTTCCATTTTTTTAAAATTTGTTTTAAAACTTGCTTATATAGAATATACATATTTCTACATATAGAATATACACATATTACTACCTATTGTATTATTTTTATATATTTTATCATTTTATTACTATTGTAAGGGGATCTTGTTTTGTTAGATCAATTAACTTATTGCTTTAATTTATGAAACCAATTAATTTGTGTATATTAATCTTCAAGTCATTCCCTGAATTCTCTGGTGGGTTCTTAATTAATTGTCCTGGGATTTTCACATGTACAATTGCGTTATCTTTAAGTCATAACAACTTAACCTCTCCCTAACTCATATTTAAACCTGAAAATTTTTTTTGTCTCTTGTATTTAACAACCTCGGGGGAAAAGAATTAGACAATCATGTACTGGTAGGCATTCGTGCATCTTACTTAGGTTGTCTTACATTTTAGGTGATCTTCTAATTTCTAATATTATCAGTTTTCTTCTATTCCCTAGCACCTTCTAATTTCAAAAACCCTTTGAGATAGCACACATCTTCCATCTACCCCTCTGAGATAGCACACATCCTCCATCCACTCCTCTGAGATAGCACACATCCTCAATCTACTGCTCTGAGAGAGCACACATCCCCCATCTACTTCTCTGAGAGAGCACACATCCTCCATCTACTGCTCTGAGAGAGCACACATCCTCCATCCACTCCTCTGAGATGGCACACACCCTCCATTCACTCCTCTGAGATGGCACACATCTTCCATCTACTCCTCTGAGATGGCACACATCCTCCATCCACTGCTCTGAGATAGCATACATCCTCCATTCGCTCCTCTGAGATAGCATACATCTTCTATCTACTGCTCTGAGATACATAGTCCAACTACTTTCTTTCTCAAAGCTATCCACCTTATTCTTCTTCCTCTAGTCTCCTTTTCTGTTTCTATTCACTGTTGCTTTCCATCCAGCTTCTCGCCCCACCACTGGCAAATGGGCAGCACTGGAAGGGACCAAGTTCCAGAGGACACAGTGGCACCAGTGTAAGGGATAATGACTAAGGTACTGCCCAAGCTTTCTTAGTGCCAGATGTGGCAATTCCTGTCCAGTGTCTTCATGAATAGTGTCCTCTGGATTCCCTCCACAGCTCGATTTGGTGCCTTGTCTTTGACTGATGGACTGCAGTCTGGTTTTTACTACTCCCACGGGTGACTCTTTACATTCAATGTCTGTTTTTATTAAGCCATTTTTGGTGTTGCTCTTGATATTACCAAGGTTTTCAGGTCATTCTAATTGGTCATTCTTTCTTAAAACATTCAAATCTTTAAATTTTATAATGCCACATTTAAATTTTTTGGCAAACCCTTGTCTCTTTTACTAGTAAAGCTTTCCTTCCATATATAATTCAAATATTTCTAGCTCTGCAGCTAAAACTATATTTCTGTGGCATGCTCATGCTCATAAGTGATCTCATAGACTTAGATGACAGGAACTTTATAATAACTACCGTGGACTTCTTTCCTTCCAGCATCTAAATTCAACCATTCCTTTTCAGATTTGTTTGAGTAACTTTGGATCTAATTTCTGAGTGATCACATGATCTACCATCACTTCTTACTTCAATTCATTTACTCACTTAACTGATCCCTGATCTAGTTAATTCAACTCCCAGAGGTGACTCCTACCCTGGGCGCTCATGCTCTCTATAGAAGTCAGGTATAAAAGGTTATAATGTAAAATTGGTGATGCTATTTCTCAACTGAGAGTTCTTTAAAGGGTTGCTTCCCGTTACTCATGGCTGAAGCCCAAAATGCTTAGCTTGACCTTTAAGAATTTCATTTACCTAGTTCCTTTCTACCTCGCTAGTCTTTCAGTACATTGCTTTAAAAAATTGTTTTGATTAATTTTTGTCTCTGCAGTATCATGCTTGTATATAATATACTGTGATTAACCACCCCCGTCCCCACACCCCCTCTTTCATCTCCCTGAGCAAATGGCAGTGGAAGGCTTTGTAGCAAAGGAAGTCACGCTCTTCATTAATGGAGCCACTGTTGAGTGACTCATACTCCAGTGAACAGATTCTTACACTCATGCTCATGAGAGAGGCCATGGTTAAACCCAGTGAGTCACAAAGTAAAAGCAAGTAAGTAAAATAATGGGACAGGATAGGGAATTTGGAGGGGCAGACTGGCGGGGGTGAGAGGATAGGAGAGCAGGAAGTGTGACCAAAACATAAACGTGTACACCGTTGTATACTTGTATAACGTATACAATTGCAAAGAAAAGATGAGTAAAAATAATAAGTTTTGTCATTGTTTTACACTGTATTGACATTGTAGAGCAAGAAAAATAAAAGAAATATTTGGCCAACCAAGATATCATCCAGACCAGAAAGCCACTTTTTTTCTGGACTGGTACTCATAGCTTTCCCCTCTCTTCCCCAGGGTTGCTGTCTGCTTCACCTTTGCTGGAGCTAAATAAACACATGCCTTTCTAGAGAGGTTTCTAAAACCCTCTATTGACCATGACACTTCTTGTTCGGCTCCAAAGGCTCCATAGAAATCTGAAAGGTTCAATGTGTTTTTACTTTCTGATTCCTCTGTCAGTGCTGCCCAGTGTCAGATATCAACAGAAGATGTGTTGACAGAGGAATCTGCAAATTTTAATTTACAGACTTCCAGCCCATGCAATTGAGATGAGAGCACAGTCAAGAACAGAGCTGGCAGGCATATGTTTTCACTCCTAGCTTTTCAAACTAATCAGACTCCTGGTTTTTATATCAACCCTTTCATGATGTGCACATGTACACCAAGATGTTATTGTTGATAAAGAGTTAATGCCAATGTATTGTAATGGTGTTAAGGTAGATAACAGTTCAGCAGTAATGCCATTTTAGGCCCACATTAATCTTGATTCATAAATAGATACCCTCTGCCATCCTGTGTCTTTCTTTATAGCATTAACAAAACTAAGACCAAGTAATGAATCACATAATTATTCATTTAATATCTGTCTCCATGCTAACCTGAAAGTCACAGAAGAGAAGGGTCTATGTGTCTTATTCATGACTACCAAATGAAGCATGGGCAGTCTATATTAAATATTGTTAAACACATGAAGTATCTCTTTTATCATAGAATATGAAAGAGTAGTTCTCTAATTCATGGTCAATCGTTCTTCTAGGGGCAAAACATTTACTTGTTCAGTACAGTTACTTTTCATTAGGAAAAAGGTCAGTTCCTCAAGGATTTCTCTCAAGCTATTAATTCAGAAACAGAAGGATTTGTAGTTTTTCTGGGTACGTGAATTTAAAGTAAAACATCTATGGACTTTTTGAGAACCTAATATGTTTCTTGGTAATTTAAGTCATTGTGAAGATGGAATTGAAGTGTGGAGGCAAATCTAAGGGCTGGATGGCATTTCTGTGACCCGTCTGAAGCGAACAAAGAAAACTCAAGAACAAAGACAAATCCTGAGATGTAGTAGGAAGGGGTCATTTGTTCCTTCTGGCAGTTCAGCTAGCTTAGCCCTGAAATAATCACACAGAAACTGTATTCATTAAATCACTGCTTGACCCATTAGCTCTAACTTCTTATTGGCTAACTCTTACATCTTAATTTAACCCATTTCTAGTAATCTGTGTATTGCCATATGGTTGTGGCTTACTGGCAAGGTTCTGTGTCTGACTCTGGCAGTGGATTCATGGCGTCTCACTATCTCTGCTTTCTTCCTCCCAGAATTCAGTTCTGTCTTCCCTGCCTACCTAAGTTCTGCCCTATCAACAGGCTAATGCAGTTTCTTTATTCATTA